TTTGATTTCAAAAGTATGTAAAAAATATCATAAAACGAAACAGAGTCAAAAAAATTTGCGCCGGGAGAGACGTATAGCCGCCCATACTAAAATATGTTAATAAAATGTTGGTAGGCAGTTCTTTTTTTTTTCATAACAAGGGGCCGTCCTCTGCCGGAAACAGTGCGACCTGTGAGGCCTATTGTGTTTGTCCCCCTTCTATATCTGCACCTATTCTCCCATCCCTGTGCCCTGCACCAGCTTATGCAGGTCCTCGATAGGATGGGAGCATAGTTCCTCCGGTTCTAGCCTAGTTTTCCCAAATAAAGAGTGTCGCTTGCGATCCAGAGCCTCGCAATGACATATTATGTGCTCCGCTGTTTCAGGATCTTTATCGCAGAGTCTGCAGCAAAGGCTTCCTTGATACAGGTTGAGCTTGTTCAGATAACACTTGACAGCCATGTGTCCTGTCAAGAGGCCTGTTGTAATCCGCACTTTATTCCTGCTAAGCATTAGGATAAAAAGCCTTGCTGTGCCTGTGCCCCTGTCTGTTTCTCCAGTTGACATTGTGCTTTTCCTTGATCCAGAGTTTTAGTGCAATACGGGCCATACATTTGGGTATTCCCAGTACTGGCTCTGGACCAAGATAGGATGCCGATGATCCCTGCTAGCTCATCGGCTTTTTCGTTGCCTTGGATGCCGCTGTGGCCCGGCACCCAGAATAATTTAATTCTGTTCCTTCGTGCCAGAGTTCCCAGTTCACCCAGGCATTCCCAGACGAGTCTCGACGATACCTTTAGGTTCACAAGCGCCCCAAGTGCCGCCTGACTGTCTGAGCATATATTGATGAGCTTACCTGAATAAGCTCTTCTATTGTTTTCTCTTGTGCATTGTAGAATGGCGAAGATTTCTGTCTGGAATACGGTTGAGTGTTTACCCAAGGAAAAGGATAAGCTTGCCCTTGGTCTTTCCCCAAATACTCCAGCTCCTGTTCGTTCAGCGGTCTTTGACCCGTCTGTATACCAGGTTAGTCCATCCTGAAGGAATGTTATATCTCTCCACATTCCTCGATCCATTTTGTTCACCTCGAATGGTTTGTGGTAGTGATAAAGAGGGGTCATTTGGTCCGATCTCATTTGGAGTAGAGATCCTCCGATAGAATCTCCCATCTTTAAGTGTCCTGTTTCTGTTCGGCTAAGGGTCAGCTAAAAAACTTAACCTAGACTTGTCAATAATTTACATTAATTTTCAGATAGGATAGGCAGACTTTTAAATTATATGGTTCCAAATTTATTAAAAATTTATGCAACTGATTTTTAAAAGGCACGATATTATTTATTTATTTCATATAATCAGGTAGGTTATTAAATACTTTTTTAAACGCTCAAGGGGGGGGGGAGATCATATTTACACAATAACAGTAATAGAATCATCGTTTAGACCGTTTATTCAGTTATATAGCTCTGGATATTGTTATTGCACTCTCTCTCTCCTGCACCTTTTATTGCCATTCTCGTTGTTCATCATGATGTCTTTATTATAGTAATATATTTATATAAAATATATGTATTTTCCTCTAAAGCCCGTGCCCTCAAACGAAACTTTTTTCGAGCGTGTTAAATTAATGGTTCGTCACAAATTTGAACCCGATTATCAAAATTTACGTTGTACGCCTCTGCTCAATTTGTTTTTATGTGTGCCTTAGAGTATAATACCGTACACACTAAAAAATACCATACGATCGAAAAAAAAAACGGCGTCAAGAACGGCTGGGGAATGTCAATCGATGATAATTTTGGCGAGGTCAAGCACTAGACGTCAAGCAGCAACTGCCAGTTGGCCTTAAGAAGGTTGTAATTTATTTTTATCTTGAGTAATTTATTGAGTAATTTTTAAATGGTGTAGTTCAAAATTCATGAAAAATTTTTATTATTTTTCTAAAAGGAGCCACTATAATGAGGAGAAAAATCAAAAATTTTCCTTCATTCAAGTAAGAATAATCTTTGGATTGTCACGGGGTTTTTAACAGGACAAGTGTCTCACAACGGAGAGTGCAGATTCTGTGGGGAAAATGGGGAAACACCAGAACACCTCATCACTGAGTGCGCCGAGACGACAACCATTCGTGTAATAAACTTTGGTACGACTGTTATCGGAGATGGGGAAAAACCATCTGTAAAACCCCCTCCCTGTAGAACCATCGCAGATATTAGCTTTTGTCAAAGCCCTGAGACTGTATAATGAGTTATAACTATGGGGAAAAACCATCTGTAAAACCCCCTCCCTGTAGAACCATCGCAGATATTAGCTTTTGTCAAAGCCCTGAGACTGTATAATGAGTTATAACTCGTTATAACTCAAGAAAAGGGGACACACAATAGACATGGTCGCGGTGATTAACTCCTCTACAACACATTTTACATTCTACATTCCCCAACTGCCTTTATCACCTTTTTTCGATCATACGGTATATGCGACGTTAACCCTAGAACCAGGCTCTCAATGATAATTTTTTTCGTGCATGTTGAGTTATTATGGTGCAAGTACACACTCGGCGAGGCGACCCGAGACACCACAAAAAATTAACGATTTGTACATTGTTATTGGTTAGGACCGTCCTTTTTTGTCACGTCTCGGGTCGCCTCGGCGAGTGTGTACTTCCAGCATTAGATACTGATAAAAACAGACATATAATGGTGCCAGTATACACTCGGCGAGGCGACTCGAGACGCCACAAAAATTTACGATTTGTACATTGTTATTGGTTAGGACCGTCCTTTTTTGTCACGTCTCGGGTCGCCTCGGCGAGTGTGTACTTCCAGCATTAGATACTGATAAAAACAGACATGTAATGGTGCAAGTATACACTCGGCGAGGCGACCCGAGACGCCACAAAAAATTAACGATTTGTACATTGTTATTGGTTAGGACCGTCCTTTTTTGTCAGGTCTCGGGTCGCCTCGGCGAGTGTGTACTTCCAGCATTAGATACTGATAAAAACAGACATGTAATGGTGCAAGTACACACTCGGCGAGGCGACCCGAGACGTGACAAAAAAGGACGGTCCTAACCAATAACAATGTACAAATCGTTAATTTTTTGTGGCGTCTCGGGTCGCCTCGCCGAGTGTATACTTGCACCATTACATGTCTCTTTTTATCAGTATCTAATGCTGGAAGTACACACTCGCCGAGGCTACCCGAGACGTGACAAAAAAGGACGGTCCTAACCAATAACAATGTACAAATCGTTAATTTTTTGTCACGTCTCGGGTCGCCTCGGCGAGTGTGTACTTCCAGCATTAGATACTGATAAAAACAGACATGTAATGGTGCAAGTATACAGTCGGCGAGGCCACCCGAGACGCCACAAAAAATTAACGATTTGTACATTGTTATTGGTTAGGACCGTCCTCTTTTGTCACGTCTCGGGTCGCCTCGGCGAGTGTGTACTTCCAGCATTAGATACTGATAAAAACAGACATGTAATGGTGCAAGTACACACTCGGCGAGGCCCCGAGACTCCACAAAAAAAACGAACGATTTGTACATTGTTATTGGTTAGGACCGTCCTTTTTTGTCACGTCTCGGGTCGCCTCGGCGTGTGTACTTCCAGCATTAGATACTGATAAAAACAGACATGTAATGGTGTAAGTATCGAGGCGACCCGAAACGCCACAAAAAATTAACGATTTGTACATTGTTATTGGTTAGGACCGTCCTTTTTTGTCACGTCTCGGGTCGCCTCGGCGAGTGTGTACTTCCAGCATTAGATACTGATAAAAACAGACATGTAATGGTGCAAGTACACACTCGGCGAGGCGACCCGAGACGCCACAAAAAATTAACGATTTGTACATTGTTATTGGTTAGGACCGTCCTTTTTTGTCACGTCTCGGGTCGCCTCGGCGAGTGTGTACTTTCAGCATAATGGTATGAGCAAGGTAAAATATTTTTTTTTCTAAATATTAACTTGATAACTTTTATATTGCAAATTGGTTTAAAAAAACAATGATTATGTAAAGACCAATTATTATGAAGAGTCCTTTGAAGATTGTTTGAACCAATCTAACAAGTACTCTGTAAACAACCTTGAAAATATAATTTAAATTAGTCAGTTTAATAAGTTAATAGTATTTAATTAGAATAATACAGGAATTCCTATTGTACTTTATAAAAATATAAACAAACTAATATCGATTATTTATTTTAATTCCTTATTAAATATTAACTTTAAATTCTAAATTTTCTTATGATGTCCTATCAGAATTACCGGCCACCGAAGATTCCGTACAGATTTGTAGATACATATTGTAATTAGTTCAATTAGATATGTTCATTTTTAGGGTTCCGTACCCAAAGGGGAAAAACGGGAACCCTATTACTAAGACTTCGCTGTCCGTCCGTCCGTCCGTCCGTCCGTCTGTCACAAAGGTCTGTCTTATGAACCGTTATAGCTAAACAGTTGAAATTTTCACAGATAATGTATCTATGTTGCCGCTATAAGAACAAATACTAAAAACAGAATTAAATAAATGTTTATAAATAAAAAAGTACTTTATTTTTTTTTATCTTTTAAGTAACAATTTTACATAGAATCTTTCGAGTCCTCGGTGGCCGCGTGGTTAAAGCGGACTTGACATTGCTATGACGTTGGAGCCATAGTAAGGCAGGTTCGAATCCTAGTCAAGGCTACTTTTTTTAATCGTTTTTTTTTTAATTTTTACATATTTTTACATATTTATTTTTACTTTTTACATATTTATTATTGATTAATACAATTTTTAGTAATGTGTTTCTTCATTTTTTTTTTAAATTACTTATACGCGCATTTGAAATTTCAGCTAAATCGGTAAAAAGTTTATAATAATATAGTGTCTAATGTTGTATAGATAATGAATGGTACAGAACCCTTCGTGCGCGAGTCCGACTCGCACTTGACAAATTTTTTCGTTCTTTTTCAAACATTGAAAACTATGCATCATAAAATAATTAAATAAATTTCATATTTTATAATTTCAGCTGATGTGCCTCTTTTTGCTAGCGGCATTGCAATGTCCTGGACATCTCCAGTAATACCCAAACTTCACGACGATGAAAATCCTTTCGGTCATGACGTCACCACTACCCACGAGGCCTGGATAGCGGCGCTGATGCCTCTAGGGGCTGCAGTGGGCCCTTTAGCTGCAGGATACTGTGCAGATAAATTGGGAAGAAAGAAAGCCCTGATATTTCTGGCTCTGCCTATGATCGTTGGATTTTTGACTTTATCTTGGGCTACGCAGATTGGATTGTATTATGCGGCCAGGTAATGATATTATCTAGAGATTGATTAGTTAACAATTTTTTATTTATCAATTTGATAGTTTTTTTTTTGGAATATGGAGTAACAACAAAAAATCTGAAACATCCGTGATTTAACAATAGTTCTATTAGAGCTAACAGCTATTATAGCTCTATATTAGCTCTATTATAAATGCTCTATTAGTTGCTTGCTTTGAAGGATAATCTTTAGTTCCAAACAAAATTGCTTTAAACATACAATAATGGAAACATATACATCATACCAAATAAACTTTAATCACGTGATTTAAGCTTGGCCGGCACAGCGTTGTCCACTTTTACATATTTTCTTTTAATCAAAATATTTTAGGAAACAAAAATAAATTAATTATTAATACATAAACAGTTATTATTTTCATCAACAAAACTCACCTCCTTAACAGCACTTAAGGGACATAATGAGCTATTATTACTACCACTTTCCCGATCAAAATATTCTAATAAGATTGCGATGAGTTTTTTGCAACGGTTATTAAGCTATCTTGTACCCACTTGTACCCACATTGCATTTTTTAAGCTTAAAGTATCACAACACAACTCATTTAAACCAAAAACTCATAATACAAAAGTGTCAAAACGAATGACAATTTCAAGAAATAAATAAACAAATGTGGCAACTTGACATTTTTTACAGCAGAGCTATCACCTGAATCCCCAGCGGGAAATTTAAATGCCAGTTAGTCAGCCCGGCGCGTCGCCGAATATTATAAAAACTTTATAAAAAAAAACGTAAATTATAAAAAGAAAAAAATATATTTTCGAGAAATACATAATTTCCAACATGTTTTTTTTTTCGCGAAAAAACCGCTTAGACAATACATGTTGCTGGGATCAAAATACATATATCACTCTTTAAAATATCTGACTCATCTTGTATTTTCTTCTAAATTTGATACTATATAAATATTTTTAAAAACAGTGGCATCTGAGTATGCAGTTTAAAATAATATTTATTTTGAAATTCTATAACATTTGTATAAACTGATTATTTCTGTTATTACAAACAATATGATTAAAAAAATTCAAAGCTATTTAAGAAAGTCTGACAGTAAATATCCTGGATATGAGTAGACAAATAAATAATAATCGGTTATAAAAATCAAGATAATATCAAAGACAGATCATGTTCTGGTAAGGAATGTCTTGTTCTTGTACACGTGCGTTTTTTATAATTAAGAGGTTTTAATCTTAAACTTGGCTACATTTAACAATAAAAAAAACAGTTAAGAAACACCTACGTCTTAATAATAATAATTAATAAGGATATATGCTGAATTACATTGCTAGTAACACATATACAAGGCTAGTAGCTATAGAAACTATTATATTATGATTTGCATAATATATGCTATAAATAATATACTTATTCAAATAGTTGTAATAAAATTGTAAATATATCTATATAGTTTATGCTTATGTGTAGATAGATTTTTTTTTAAATTTTCTTTTGTTAAATACCAACATTATTTTTCGAATTACATGTATATTAAATATGTGAACGTTTGTGAAAAAATAAACAATAATGGGGAAAACTGTCTCTATTATATTTTTGGGGAATGTTTAATTTTCTTAAAAATTCAAGTTCTTTCAATCTACTTTTCATGGTAAAGATTTTTATTATTTTTTACATATTTTGAAAAAGTTTACCACTTTGTCACTTCCTGTTTCACCGGAAATGACTACAACTTTTGATTTTTAAATAGCACCCTCTGTATATTTCTACTTTATTCATATATATATATATAATATATAATATGTAAACTATTGACATTTTCGCATGAAAAAAAATCGTATTTTAATTTTCAATCTTTTTAATCATATCTCAATGTTTTCAAATGGAACGAGGGTGGCTCATTAGCATATTTAGAAAAAGCATTTTTTACGAATAATTTGGTACCACACACTTAATTTTTCGAGTCAAATTGTCGTTATGAACAGCATGCTACAATTTCAAATAAACCTTACGCGAAAATGTCAAAAGTTGACATATGAATGTCATTCTATTGTCAGTGTCAATTTCTATCGATTAAAGTAGAAATATAAAGAGGGTGCCCAAATACGTTTAAATAAAATATACGACGGCCTCCCCATAAGACCAATGAGAGGATTTACGTCCCAGTATTGAAGAACAGAAAATCGAGTCGAATGGTTTCAAGATATAAGTTCATCCTTGTTTAGTCAAACCTCCTACAACACAAGGATAGACTTATGTAGGAAATGCTTTGAAATTCTATAGCCATCGGGACAGGAATTTAAGCGGTACCCTCCGTATATTTTATTGTAAACGTATTTGAGGGTGCCATTTAAAAACCAAAAGTTGTAGTCATTTCCGGTGAAACAGAAAATGACCAAAAACAACTAAATACGTCAATCAATCCCAAATTATGTTATATACTAACATACCAAATCTCGTTTTTTTTTATCTGAAAAAAATAGAAAGTTATAGGGGTGAGCCTCTTTTGAGACACACCCGGTATATACAGTTGAACAAATATAGGAAGAGACTTGAGGATAGCACCGGTCGCAGTGTTATTTTATATTTCTCACGTCTCTAGCTATACTTGTTAAGTTGTATATCTTTTTAAGAGAGAAGAATATATAAAAATAAATTATACTTTGAAGAATTACGTGATCTGTTCGAAACCAATGGAAATAAAAATTTCGAGAATAATAAATAACACTAACCATTAAATGTTTATTAATAAACTAGGCAAGCAATCGTTTATTAAAAAACTAGATAAGCAATAAAGCCAAGTTCTTTTGCATAATACAATAAAACCACGAAGCATAAAAATTCGCTGTTAAGTTATAACGGTAAAGAATTAATTAAATTCTAATTAGTGACTATTGTGTAGTATTTTCCGGCCATTTTATTCATATTTTTTCTCGTTTTTTAATTACTCGATAAGAAATGTTCGATGCTGTAAAATGTAGGCTAAATTAATAAACTGGAATGTAAGAGGTTCAGAAAATCTATAATCATATAGTCATATACAGTATGATCAAGTGAATTAGAGGTGGGAATTCTAGTTCCTTGGGAGGAACTAGTTCCTTAGTTCCAGTTCATCAAGAGCCAGTTCCTTGAACTAGGTCTTTAGTTTACAATAGTTCCCGACTTTGATTGACATTCCCGTCGCTTGCTAATAAGTTTCGTTGTCAGTCAGAACTATTCACAGTATGATTGTGACGACTTTTTCTGTCATCACTCAAACAGAAAGAAAAAGGTATCCGTTGCTCAGGGTTAGAGGAGAGCTGGGTTCGTAGGTAAGGCTTGTGACCTGTGGTGACTTAATAATGTTGTTAAATAATAAAATAAAAGTAATAATGTATAGGCTGCAAAGATTCTAAAATTGATGTTAAGTATTCAAATAGTAATGGTCAAAGACAGTAAAAGGGCGCCACTTACTTTGGGTATGAAAAGGTAAAGTAAGAAACCAGTAAGAAAATTTGATCATGAAATAGCTAAAATAAAATAATCAACAGCAATAAGGGTCTATTATGTTCATCAAGAATAAAATCAGATATAACTATCCTACGTTGAACATTTATTTAAAAACGAACACAATTATCAATCAGTTTAAACCCAGTTTCAATTATCCCAATGAAATCGTTAGTTGCTTTAAGTAAACTCAAATTTAGTTAAAGTTCTCTTCAGTATACTATACTACGTAATATATAAACAGGTGAAATTTATGTAAGTACCAATACGATGATGTTTCGAAACAAATCGTGTACAATAACCTTCAAAAATGAATCCGTGTTAGCGATTCTCACATAAAAGATCATACTGAAGTAAAACGTACCGTTAAGGACAAAGCATGACTTATAATGTTAACTAAAAGGTAAATTTTGACTATAATATATGGAATAAATGACAACAATTTACAGAGATATTCAAAATATTATCTCAAAGTAAAAAAAATTTAGGGAATACCTTGTGTGTTGAACTTAGAACTTATCTGTATTTTTTTTTTAATTTATGACGTAGTGAACAGATAGGCAGGCAGTCTCCAGACTAACGGAAGTGGATGTAGACTCTTCGATAGTAGCAGGAGTCTTCGATATCAGTAGAATAAATGTAGAGTCATAAATACTGTCTCAAAAGTGGTTACTCATATGCCAATTACTTATACGTCAATTTCTTATACGCCAGTTACTGGTCTGAAAATCAGCTGTACACATTCCAAAAATATAGCCAAACTATATGCTGATCCAAACCAGTAATGCACAATCAAACATTATCAAAATAAATAAAAAACGGGAATAATGTGATCTTATTCCAGGAAAAGGCCAAAAAAACACGAACTAGGCTCTGAACAGTATATTCTACAGGATTTCAAATCTCCACTTTTGGATACCCGTGCCTTTACTGTTAGGAAAAGTGTTTCAGAAAGCCCTTTTTCTCTGAGATTCGTCGGACGCTGAACCACGCGTCTTTTTCTGATCTCAATCTCTCGCCAAAAGCCTCCTTTTCGCAAAACGCAAGTCTTCGATTTGACAGGTCATATGACCAAAGGCAATTAAGTGAACTCTATCGTCTATACTGAATGAAATTTGTTTTTATGGAAAGGAACCGCTACCTGTACTGAATGAAGTTTAACATCTAGCGAATAGATGGCGCCAGCAATATTAAAATTTGGAATTTTATAAAAAGAAAAATAAAACGCTACATGATATATGTAGAATTTTTATAATATATGAAATATAACGAGACGTGTATGTTAAAAATATTTAGGTAAGTTTTATTGTAGATAAAAAAATTAAAAAAGAAACTCAAATTAGAAAGTTTAAAAAAACATATCACAAACCAAGTGGAGCAAATAATACGAAAATTTTACGAAAAATTGCATTTTTCCTCACTTCAAGCTTTTTGTTTTGTCTAAAAATTCAGAATATCTACTTCGTATTATAAAATATTTCTTAATTTTCTGAAACGTGCCCATAAAATATTAGTAACTAGTTATTTGAGAGACCAAAAACTAGTTCCTTTCATTCCGGGGTCGGAATAGTTCATTGGAACTAGTTCATTCACGAACTACACACCTCTAGAGTGAACCAAACATATGACAATATACTAGCACTGGTCAATAAATATGATTGTTTATGTTTTATTAGTTTCGCCAACTATACAACGTAGAGTAGTTCTGAAACCAAGACTTAAAGAATCTATTACATTTGTAGTAAAATGAGTAACATTTATTGTAAACGCTTAATTGGGCGGTTTGAAATTTTGACGCAAAATTTGGCAATACCGCTTCGAATAAATGTATCAATCCAAATATTTTTCTCTATTTAATACATTTGATTTTTATTAAGCTGTCTCCATCACTGTCTTTAACGTTAAAATCCAAACCACGCTTCTACAATGACCAAATCTTTACAAAAGACATTGCTGTTCCAAGCTTATAGGTATCTTTAACTCTATACATATATGTTGAATTAACTTTTATTTTTAGGTTCCTGATTGGCCTGGGAGTAGGCAGCGCATTCGCCATAGTCCCCATGTACGTCGGCGAAATAAGCCAGCCCCACAACCGAGGAAAATACGGCAGCGCCATGGGGGTCCTCATCACCTTGGGTATCATATACCCCTTCTCCATCGGTCCCCACCTTTCCATTTCCATGTACAGCCTCTCCTGTGCCATTCCTCTAATAGCCTTCATCATAATCTTTGCAGTTTTCATGCCTGAATCACCTTATTACTTAATCTCCTTGGGTGATTTTGATGGTGCTGACCGGGCCTTGAGAAAACTAAGAAGAACTGGAGCTGATATACGTCTGGAATTGACGGAAATCAAGGATGGGGTTGAAAAGGAAAGGGAAAACACTGCAGGGGTGAAGGATTTGTTTAAAACAGCTGCTGGACGTAAAGCGGTGTATATATCTTTTGGTTTGGTAGCTTTGCAACAGTTTGCTGGAATAAATCCTCTATTATCTTTCTTAAAAACTATATTTGAAGCTGCCGGAAGCACAATTCCTCCAAATATCTGCACCATTATCACTGGATGCGTTCAGGTTTCTTCAAACACTCTATGTATTTTCATTGTTGAACGATTAGGAAGAAGACTGTTGCTTCTTATTTGTTGTGTATTTTGTTTCATCGCCATGTTCATTTTAGGAATTTACTTTTATCTAAAAATCAACGACTACCATGTCGATTCAGTCTTCTGGTTACCCATAACCTGTCTCATTCTCTACATGTTGGTGTTTAGTTTTGGTCTGGGTCCGTTACCATGGACTGTAATGGGTGAAATTTTTCCATCCAACGTTAAAGGAATTGCTTCAGCTCTTAGTTCGACAACGGCTTTTATTGCTTCCTGTTTAGTAACGTTTTTATTCCCTGTTTTGTCTGAAATATTGGGCATGGCTGGATCTTTCTGGTTGTTTGCAGCTTTCTGTCTCCTGGGTTTCTTTTTCGTTTATTTTGTGGTGTTTGAAACTAAAGGTAAATCTCTGGCGGAGATTCAAAGGATTTTACAACGACAAAACCACTAAAATAGTGATTTTACTCATATAGACGTTACTAGTTTATTTTTACAATCAATGCATAAACTGTTGATACTCATAAGCATTGCTGTTTCTATAGAGAAATGAATAGTTTTAATATAACTTAGAGAGATTTTCTTAATATGGACAGTGCTCAAATAAAATGTTAACTTATTGTAATTAAATAATATGGAAAGATACTACTCCAGAGATAGAGTATAGTTTATCTCAAGAGAGGGGGGGGGAAGATATATGAAAGTGACAGCGTGGTTATCTCATGTTTAAATTCAAAATTGCTGACAATTTTTTAATGCCATCTCGAACATGATGGTGTCTTCACATAGACAAACTTTTAGTTAATGTTGTTAAATATCTAAATATATATTTTTTTCTAAATCTATTAAAGATGTTCGCATAACATACTTTATTAATTCTATGATTTTGTTCCAGTCCAAATTCCTTTAATGAGTGAATAATTCAACAATTAATATTGTGATGAGTAGTAGCAGAGCATAAAATATTTAAACAAATATATAAATTGTGTTAATGCTTTAGTTATGTAGGTATCTAGTATATATCAAAATTTAGTATACTCATTTTAAATATCTATCTACATATTTTAATATTATATTTTATCAATGAATATTAATATTCTTTGATTGTATAATATAATGTTAAAAATCTTTGTAATAAAGATTTGTTTTTATATATTTTTTAATTTTTTTTTGTAATTTTACGTTAATATATTTGTTAATATACTTAAAGTTAAGTCATCTCGTTGTTTAATTGTCATATGTAATCAAAAATAAATAAAAAATAAAAACATACACGTATTAAAAAAGTTTAATTGCTTTTTTAAACATTTCGATAAACCAGATCCACAATACAATATCCAAATTACATAAAAAAACATGTATGTCATTTCTTAAATCTCTCTTGAAAAACCATTTTAAATTTTTCCATGATATATTATTTTTTAACTCCATCCAGAATATTTTTAATTTCCAGAACACTCTTTCCTTTAGTTTCTGGTAACAGTGTAATACAAAATACAAAGCCACATGTTAGGAAAATAGCAAATACCCAAAACGAACCAGCCATACCCAGTGATGCACTTAAAAACGGGAAACACATCGTAATTACAAAAGATAAAAAGAAACATGAAAAAGAAGTTATGACTGAAGCTATAGCTTTTACATTTGATGGAAATAGCTCGGATAGAACTACCCAGGGCATGTTTGCTAATCCTAAATTATAAGAGATGATAAAAATGACTAGGCTAGTTATTGGAAGCCATCCGAGAAAATCCACGTTTTGATCTAACTGTTTTAAAAAGAAATACGCCCCAAGAGCAACCAGAGATATACCAGAAAATACATGGGAGATGATCAAAAGCATTTTTCTACCAGCAACATCGACTAGTTGGGCACTTGCTGAGTTTGAAATAAGTTGAACAGTTCCAATTATCATTGCTGAATATATGGGCGGGATAGAACTACCAGATACCTCAAAGATACTCTGCATATATCCCAGAACTGCACAAATTCCTGACAGTTGCTGAAACAGCATTAAACCGTTGCTTATTATCAATCCTTTGGTAAGACTCTTGCTTTTAAGAATCGCCGACAATCCATTATCTACTGAATTAGAGTTTGCTTCTATAATTTCAGTAATGTAAAGGAGTTCTTTCTCAACATCTCCTGAAGACTTGCCTCGTAGTTTCATTAAGATTTCTTCGGCATAAGTACGGTTTCCTTTCTTAACGGCATCATATGGACTGTCAGGCATAAAATAACCGAAGATGATGTAAAACAATGCCAAGGGAATGATGTTTAAGAAGTTAAATAAACGGACTGACAAAAAAGGACCTACTATATACATTAACAATATTCCTAAAGAATTACAGACTCCCAAGACACTACATAAAGTACCACGATTTCTATCTTCGGCTATATCACCTACATAGGCTGGTACAACAGCAAAAATCGTACCCACACCTAAGCCCATAAGGAATCTAGCTGCCAGAAAGAAATAAACATTGAGAGCGATGGTACAAAGAATATGGGATGCCATCATCGGTAAAGCCATGATCAGTAAAGCTTTCTTTTTGCCGAATTTTCCTGCGCAAGCTCCTCCCGCAAATGGACCTATAACTGCGCCCAGGTTCATCAAAGCTGCTATCCAGGATTCTTCGAAAGTAGTGGTGGGTTTTGGAAGAGGGTTGATTTCAGGGTCGGTACTGCTCAGTTTTGGTATCATGGGTGATGTCCAGGACCAACTGCCTCCTCCTGAGAAGGTGATTAAGTTGACTGAAATAAAAAAAATATTAGTAAAATGCTTATTTAGATAACAAATAGAAAAGTAATAAAGTAAAATATTTAGTAAATAAAATATGCAAAACCACACAATACTGATATTCAGTGAATATTAATGATAATAGTTAATTGGGACTAAATTCTTCAAGTGGGTTTGCAGTCCTCAGTAAATTTTAATGTAACCGATTTTTGAATAACGGTTTAAAATGGCCAAATAAAAATCCAGTTTATCTACCTGTTCTAATTTATTCAAAAACCCCATTTCAATAGTTTTATTTCTGAATATACTGATATACAGGGTGTCAAATGTATTTGACACATTTTTTTGAGTTCGGTGAATGTTTATCTGCAGAATAAATAAAGCAAAAAGTTTCTTTGATCATATGCCCTAAAATGCTTTCCGAAGAATTTTATAATACCGGGTGTGTCTCAAAAGTGGCTCACTCCTATAACTTTTTTATTTTTTCAGTTAAAAAAATGAGATTTGCTATGTTGGTATATGACATAAATTAGGATTGATTGACGTATTCAATTGATTTAGGTCACTTCCTGTTTCACCGGAAATGACTACAACTTTTGATTTTTAAATATCACCCTCGGTATCTTTTACTTTATTCGATAGAAAATAACACTCCAAGTGTGTGGTATCAAATTATTCGTACAAAATGCTTTTTCCATATATGCTAATGAAAAAATTGAGATATGATTAAAAATACGATTTGAGCATTTTCTAACTGGCCAGGACAAGACACTAAAAACATTAGACGATCAAATCTATTTTTCCAAAGCTCCTGGATAAAGAATTAGTGTTTTTAGCATAGCCATGGCACTCTAGATTGAATTTTAAAATACGATTTTTTATTAAGCGAGAATGTCAAAAGTTGACATATGATATGTCATTCTATTCAGAATGTCATTTTGTATCTAATAAAGTAAAAAAATACCGAGGGTGCCATTTAAAAATCAAAAGTCATTTCCAGTGAAACAGGAAGTGACCAAAAACAATTGAATACGTCAATCAATCCTAATTTTTGTCATATACTAACATACCAAATCTCGTTTTTTTATCTGAAAAAATAAAAAAGTTATAGGGGGTGAGCCACTTCTGAGACGCACCCGTTATATAATATGTTTATAGGAGCTTTTTGTTTTATTTTTATCTGTAGAATCACTCACCGAAGTTAGATAAACTATTTTTTTGACACCCTGTATATTGAATATATAAATATCTGAATATGGAAATTATTGTAAAATTCGTTGTTTGGGGTTTCTACCTTGTAATATAAATATAGATATCGATAAAAAGGAGAAGAAAATAGAGAAAAGTATTATAAATAAATAAATAAATAAAGTATAGAAAAGAATAAATTATTCAGTAAAATGGTATCGTAATCTTAGTACAGGTGTGTAAATTTATAAAAACTATATACTTTTTGGAGGAATTTTTTAATATTCCCACAAATACAGTTTTCTACAATTTTATAACAAGCTTACCTGCAAATACAGCCATATAAAGAAAACTACTATTACTTTTAGATTGTTTCTCCATTATTTAAAAATTTCAATTAAACTAAATAAACAAAATCTGTATTTATGAAAGAATACAGTTACTATTTTCTGAATAGTTAATATTCAGAAAAAACTTAACTGCTATCCTAAATTGAACCACTACAATCGATTTAAAGCCCTGGAACGCGTTTGAATAACCTTTTATTCATCGCTTCGTTTATTTTATACTCAGATTATCACTGTTAATATTTTTTAATTAAAATGTAAACCCCTTCGTGTGTCGCCAAAGTAAATATTTCATAAAATAATCCCTTTGTAACGTAAAAAAAACGTCTGTCGTGTTTTATATTGGTGAGTGTTACATCTAAAATTTGCAGAATTTAAACCTGTGTTGATTCAGGTATCAGACACGATTACAACGTATTGAATTCGCTACACGTTTTGAAATTAGTCTGTATGAAACACATTGCTTTGTCGTGGTTACCTGCTAAAAGAACATAGGTGTTAGACATGTATACATATTTGCTCAATATATATTTTAATATAGAGGATTTTAGGAAACAAATATTACACAAAATTATATTTTAACACTAAATTATTACAAGGTATCAAAATAATCATTAGAACGTATTGGATTCATAATATCTTGATAAATTGTCCTGTTTATAACTTATTTTCATGTCGTGACTACCTACTTAGAAAATATAGCTGCTTGACATTTTGTATGATATTATTAAATACATCCATATACATACAACACAAAAAAAAACAGCGTCGTTACAATTACTTACAATTTAGTTTTTTAACAACACTGAGGTAAGTACTCGTAATTTCAGGGTTTGTACATGAATATCCTAAGAAAAATCTATCACAGCTTGACTGGTCTTAATTATATTATACTATGATCGAAAAAAAACGGCGTCCAGTTGGCTTGGAAATGACGATCGATGGCATTTCTCATATAATTTTACATATAAAATGACAGCAATTTTACATATAAAATGACAGATCTTAATTTCATGGCCATCGCTGACGCCGTTTCTATTCGATCATACGGTACTATATATTTAGAAGGTTGTAATTTATTTTAATCTACGACAATGTCATTATGACACATTTAATATTGTCATTTGGTGGCTTTGGTCTGTCTCTTTAGTTGTCAGTTTTGAGTCAATATCTTTTAATTCTCCTTCGTGTCGATTACTGATTGAATTGGAACCAGAAATGGCTCAAAACGAAATAAGTAAATTACCAACAGATATTCAGGCTCAGGCAACAACCGCCATATCCAAACTACTTCCATTTAGATCCCGAATAACTTATGAAAAGGAATACAAACATTTTCAAAAAAGGAAGCAATTAAAAAACGTGGGAGATGAAATAAAGTTTTTAACATGTCCTCGCTGTTTATCTATATTATTTTTGATAGATATAAGGCAATTTTAACAGTTGCTGTGGAAAAAATAAATATTATGTTGTATATTATTACTTGTATCCTTTGAATAAGAAGACTAAGGAAGGAGCATAATGCTATCCATGTATTCATGCATGGTGGGCGGAAAAAGCGCCAAAAAAGCACTCTAGGGTGGGGATCCTTGACAGTTCTGTTTGACGATTCATTTGACACATTTGAATTTGATTTGAAATTTTGTGGATTTGTCAGTCTTTACGGAGCTTATTTTATGTTATTTATTATTTATTCTACTACTGATAGTTGTATAAAGGTAGTAAATCTAGATGGAAATTGTGACAGAACTTAAATTAACAGTGACACTATCGCGATTTATCGAAAAAGACTCTAAAATAGTTGGTTGTGTAGCGTGCGGTAGATCTCGGCAAAAATTGAGTGAAATAATGGGAACAACTTTTCGCTAGTAAGTGACTATATAATATACATACGTGTAGTAAACCGATCATTTATGAAATTCACTTAAATTAACTAAATTATATATTTTTCTTGCATTTTAGCTTTTATTTATTACTTGTCAGAGATTAGATGTCAAAGAATTTAGATACGTTAATTTGACTTACCTGCTTCAGTAGCGTATCGGATGTTTGTGGTAATAAATACTTATTATAACTTATTTATTTTTATTAGAATTATATATTTTTATAACAATTTTAATAACTACCAACATTTATTCACAACGTAAAATAAAACAACAAATTATTGAGTCTACCCCACGTCTACCCTACATCATAGTTTTACAATTTTTAAATAAAATTAGAACGACACTGATAAACCGGAATTTAAGTCGGCCATATTTGAGGCCCATCGCGGTGTACCTAAGATTTTTGATATGCTCCTTCCTTAGTCTTCTTATTCAAAGCTTGTATCATTTCTTGAGTTATAACCATAGATAAAAGAAAATAATCTTCTATTAAGATAGATATGAAACTTAATAGTAAAATAGTAAAAATTCATAATAACACGCAAATTTTAAAATAAGAAACAAGCAAAAAACGTACCTAAATACGTTTATTTATTGTAAACATTAAGTCATCAAAATCTACTTATAACTATGGCAGATATGGATATTCAAAAAATAAGGTACTAACAATTATTATAGTACATAGAATACCATACTAAATTTATATACTTCTATATAAAAATACAATACATTTATCATGTATCCTTGAACTAACAATAGTTTCATTAAGCTTTAAATTGTTCTAAAATTGTACTATTTACATCCAGCAGACTAATTTAACACAATACAACAAATTATAATAAAGTCTAGTTTAAACTTTTTCTAGGCTTTTTATTATAAAAATTGCATTCATTTATTTAATGAATAGCGTGTTATCTATTCAGGTTTGTTCACCACATACGTCACGGAGTATTGTAGCTAAACGATTAGATTTTTACAAATTGTAAGTTTTGGGTTTGTTGAGGGACTATTAGAGCTACAATTTAAAAATATTTTTACAAGATACAGAGTGTCCCAAATAAATAAAAAATATCAAAGTTGTATTTTTTTTAATGGAACACCCTGTATATTATTGCATTTTTAGTTTCTACGATTAAAATAAAGGTAAATTTGATTAACGTTTATTACACTTAACCCTTACCGTTTTTTAAATATTTTCAATTTTGCGAAATTGCAGTATATATTTTAAGGCTTCATTTCTCCGAGGATATCAAAGTTTTTAATACTAAATATTTACTGAAGTTTATTTATCGATCAGTTATTTTGTTGCAATAATAAAAATTATACTACCTTATACAGAGTGTCTAAAATTTTATTTTAAATAATTACTAGTTTTAAACGACAATAACTTATTTACATTAAATAGAACACCCTCTATATTTTATGAGAATCAGATGCACAATTTAATTGTCTATCAAATTGTATTATACCACTTCTTACCTATTCCTTCAAGTTTTCGTAGAAAATGCATTTTCTTATAATTTAGACCTCATTTATCAATATACCCATGGAATATTGACATTTTAGATTGTTTTTAAAACAACAAATGTACAAAATGTACAGGCAAGTAATATTATCGTTTTTAGTAAAACGATAATATTACTAGCCCATTTGTATGCAAAAGAAAACTATTTAAATCTTTATAAAAGAGTATACCATTAATTAAATATATCACCAGTATTTCCGCCCAAATACTAATTAACTACATACTTAATTGTGTTCGTTAATAAATTATTCTAAATAAATGTGGATTTGAATCAGAAATCAGTATAATAATAAGTTATGAAAATGAACGTCTCTGTTGTTATAAATAGGCATTTGTCGAAAAATTAAATATCATTTTTAAGGTGTTACTTTTTACCACACTGTCTAATACACATACATATTTCAGCTTTTTAGTATTTGGAGCAATTATTATTAATCAACGCAAACAGTCAATTAATGTAGTTTGAATACTGGAATCATATTAATTGGTCCTTTTTAACAAATATTTAAACAGTTTTTTTTAATGAAATAAACGAACTATATCGGCAATATTAGTCTCTGTACTCTTTAAAAATTTGGTACATCTTTAAAAATAATCTAAAATGTCAGTATTCCATGGGTATATTGATAAATGAGTTCTAAATTACAAGAAAATGCATTTTCTACGGAAACTTGAAGAGATAGGTAAAAAATGATATAATACAATTTGATAGACAATTAAATTGTGCATCTGATTCTCATAAAATATACAGGGTGTTCCATTTAAATTAAACAAATTATTGCCGTTTAAAGCTAATGATTATTTAAAATTAATTTTTAGACACTCTGTATAAGGTAGTAAAGTTTTTATTATTGCAACACAATAACTGATCAATAAATAAACTTCAATATATATTTAGTAATAAAAACTTTGATACCCTCGGAGAAATGAAGCCTTAAAATTTATACTGCAATTTCACAAAATTGAAAATATTTCAAAAACAGTAAGGTTTAAGTGTAATAAACCTTAATCAAATTTACCTTTATTTTAAGCGTAGAAACTAAAAATGTAATAATATATAGGGTGTTCCATTTAAAAAAATACAACTTTGATATTTTTTATTTATTTGGGACACTCTGTATTTTCTACAAATATTTTTAAATTGTAGCTCTAATAGTCCTTCAACGAATCCAAAACTTACAATTTGTAAAAATCTAGTCGTTTAGCTACAATACTTCGTGTCGTATGTGATGAACAACCCTGTATATTTAACTCACGGGTAACATATTTTATTTTATATATAAATATAGGTTTATTAATATTTAAATTATTTTTATAATTAATTATTGTTATATCAATTTAGTTGTTTAGTTATATGTATATTTTCATGGCTTAATTATAGTCTGTTCATAACTATCTTGTCTTGTTACATTTGTATGGGACTCTAATGTTATGTAACAACTACTAGAAAATATACTACTACTATGTATCAAAGAAACTACCAAAACTGGTGCTATAGCAACCAGTTTTGGTAACAGGTAGCAGGTACATACAGCAGGTAAAATTCAGGTAGTCAAAAAGAAGCGAAAATAACCTGCTGGTACTGAATAAGCTGTGGGCTTAAAAATGTGATCTAACCATATAGTTACATCATATTTATTGTCTTCCATTTCATTTCATTACTTTCCTGTCAATTTTTCAGAGGCTTCAGAAATTTACCAAATAATACGCCATTTAAAAACTATAAATTTATTTAATCTTATGTTCTAAAGATTCCTGAATTTCTAAAAAGCTCTTACTTCTAGTTTCGGGAATAAAGAAATATACAAAAACTATAGCTATCAAACTTATAACAGCAAATATCCAGAAAGGCACGTAGAATCCTACGTGTTCTTCCAAAACAGGTAAGAAAGTGGCTATCAAAAATTCAGCCAACAGTCCTATACAACACACCAACATTATACCAAACGACTTTACATTTGGTTTTAATATCTCTGCAGGAAATATATACGATATTGGGCATATACCTAACTGGTATGCGGTGATAAATAGCATCAAGCATGCTATGGGTATCCAAGAAGCGTACTGAACGTTGAAATTTTCTTGCTTTAAGTAAAAAAAAGATCCTAAAGTAGTGTGCAAGAAGAATATACTCGTTAGAGATAAAAGCAACAATGTTTTTCTGTTGATCTTGTCAATAACATTGGTTGAAAATAAAATTGCAGCTACCTGGACTGCCATTACTATCACAACCCCTTTATCTCCTGATAACGGTGTTTCAGCTGAATCAAAAATTTTCTGATTGTAATCGATAATATAAATAAGACCAGTAAATTGTTGAAACAACATGAGTAACAACGACAGAACAAATGCTTTTAAAGAAGATTTATCAGTGAAAATCTCCTTCAAAACCGAAATATTCTTGTTGCTTTTCATCTCGGTGACGCATTTGATTATCTCCGACATTTCCTCACTGACGTCTTCCTTCTTACGTAATTGCTTCAAGCTTTTCTCCGCTTCCGGAAATTTGTTACGAATGACGTAATAATACGGAGTTTCTGGGGAAAACAGGCCGAAACTAACGAAGAATATTATACAGGGTACTAAAGAAATTATGCTGAATAATTGTAGGGACACGTTAGGTCCTACTACGCTGGACGTGAAGTGGCCTAAAGAGACGAATAGAAACATGATGGCTCCGATTGTGCCTCTGTTATGGTTCTCGGATATTTCGGCGGAATATACGGGGATTGTTGAGAAAATAGAGCCTTCGGTTATCTAGAAAAAGAAAAGAATAAAATAGTTAACAATTTAAAATTAATACTCTAATATTAAAGCTGTATAAAAATATTTTTTTTGCAGAATTGCCTCTAACATTTATACTGTCACAACATTTCAAATATTTCTTAAAAATATACTCTTTGATTCTATCTACGAATTTTCTAGGAAGGAACGATGTAAAATACGTATGAAAATATCATACAGGGTATAATTTCAGAACTTTATTTCAATTTTTTATGTGTGGTTTTCGTATAGAATCTTTGATTTAGACTTTCTAATTACCTGACCACAAGTAGGTACCTAATGAGGCAAAACCAAAAAACTTTCTGAAAATGCTTTTTTATTGTTTTTAATTTTTACTTATGTTTTGATATTATTTTTTTATATCGTGTTCTAGGTAGAAAAAAATAATTTAAAAAAGATGAACAAATCCATAGCTATACATTACTAATTTCTACAGATTCCTGAGCAGTACATTTATTTATATTAAATTCAATTAAAAAGCCTCTTTTTCGTTTAAAGCTTATCGGTTCTATCGTTATAATTTTTGCACCTTCAAAATCTATACTGTCTTCTGTGTTCCATGAATGCTGACAAATCTTTTTTTAATAATCTTTATGTCCTTTAATTCGAAAATTTAAAGATCACTGTCACGAATATAACATTTTTCACAATCACATGGTATTTTATATATCGTATTTTTTGTTTGTTATTCAGTATTCTTTGGCTAGTGTGCGTCGAAGTGTATTTTGTGTGTTTGACAAATGTTCGTATGTCTTTATGTTTTTCTATCCTTCTTATTTGTGGGATTTATCTTGGTTTAATAAATTATGGTTTGGGCATATTGTTTTTGTCCTATCATTTACACATTTAATAATACCTTTTTTTTTACTTGTAAACAATTTATAAAAAGTAGTATTTTTTAAAAACAATGATATGAGAAATATATTTACATTCATTAATTTTAACTCTGCATAAGTAGGTTTATAAAATGTCTTACCCCTATTAGAAATCTCCCGATATAGAAATGAACAACTTCGTCTGCGAATATCAATATGACGTATCCACCAATCATCGGCAAAGAAAATAGTAACAGACTTATTTTTCTTCCCAATTTTCCTGACACATATTCGCACAAGAATGGACTGCACATCGCACCCAAACTGAAAAAATGTAACAAAATATAAATATAGATTATTAAACGTAATGACTTTCAGTGAAATAAGTAAACAAAGAGTAAATGGTCATAAGTTTGCAGAAGAACATGAACACTTGCTTGTATTGAATGGATTTTCCAATAGAATTTTTTAAATATCTCTGAAATACCTAATCTACCCATACACTTAAGTAAAAGTAAACAAAATGTACTGTAGTTAGCCAAAGTATATCACAAATTTCAAGATTTAATTATAATATACATTGATGAGCGTCTCTACATTTTTTTTAAACTCTCACCTGTTGTGTTGGACCAAAAGAAATAGTAAAAAAATCAATAATATCTTGCAACTTAATAAAAAATATTCTAGAAAAAGTTTTTAAATTACACATTTTTGTTCCACTGACATATTTTAAAGTGAGACAAAAATGTAAGAAACAAACAGAAATGTGTTGCTTGTATCAAGAACTATTTTAGAGCTCCTTTAGGGTTAACTAATTTCTCTGAGTATTTACCACTTTACCTTAATAGAGAAGCTATCCATGACTGTTCTGCCAGAGTTGCTGGTCTGGATAGTTGATTCTGATCTGGATCAACCTCTCCACTAAGTTTAGGCAGCGCTGGTGATGACCAGCCATATCCCAAACCTCCACCATAGCTTAGAAAATTAACTGGAAAGTAATTAATATAAAACACTTTATATATTAGTGAGTGAATAATGTTATTACAGTAAAGTCACATAGTGGAATAAAGGCCATAAATAATATAGAAAAGTTACAAACCAAGTAAGAGAGTAAAAGAACCATATAAAAATAAAACTTTCTTCAAAAGTGACAAAAATTATTATTTACTTGAATAAAAAAGCAAGTTTTATATTCCTGTATTTTTAAATTCCTGAGTACAGGGTGGGTCAAATTCGACGCTTTTAAATGTAAACACCATTTTCTATAGGAGATAGACAAAAACTAATATCGGTGTCTGAGCTCAATTTTTGTCAAAAACATGATGGTGAAAACCGCATATCGATATCTGTTACCGTTTCGGAGTTACGGGGTGTTTTTCAAAAATATGCATTTTTAACAAATCGCTGTAACTTTTTTGCTATGGAAAATTTTGTATTTTTATGAAAACTTTTCCAAAGCACCTTTTTACGTAGAATTTAATGGTTTAAGTATAATTTTTCTAAAATTAATAATTTAAGAATTATCAACAGAAAATTTGATTTTTTTATATGGGACACCCTGTATATTTGTAATTTATTGAAAATAATTTAAAATTACCTTTTAATTTAATACCAAAAATATAACACACTTGATATTTTGCTCGATGCCTCTTCGAGATATAGAGTATATAAAAATTCACCGGCTTTAAATAAGTAGGCTTTGAACGGGACCAACTGGAATGCAAAAAAATTCTAGCTGTGAGCATCAATTAAAACGAAAAATTTGCTATGAGAGATGCAGAATTTTATAACAATTTAAAATATATTTAACCAACAGCAACACATTTAAATTATATCTAATAACAATAAAAAATAAATAGCAAACCAAGGCTAAGATTTTGCTACAGGTGTTCAACATATCGACCGTCTTCTGTTATGGACAGACGGGGCAGTTTTTGAACATTTCTCGCGAAATTCATTAACTCAGGGGGGGGGGGGTAAAGATACCCTCTCATAACTGCTAAGTATTTTTAATTCTTGTCTAGATTATACGGAAGAATAAGGAACCTTTATTCTTTCGCAAATATATCCATAGGATTAGATCCATGGGCACTAAGTCAGGCGGCCTCGGCGGCCAACGGCTCGGATCTTGGTTAGCTATCCAATTATTCTTGAAATTGGCTACAAAAATTTGCTGATAACTTTACCGTTCAGAGGCGGTGCGTCGTCTTGCTGGAAAAATATGTTTTCAAGTTTCATTAAGTAAGGGGTCCAAAGCCTACTAGTTAAAAGTGGCGAACTTTTAAAAATTCTGTATTTCGAAGGGGATTATGACAAAATATCAAGTATGCTATATTTTTGGAAAGGTAATTTCAAATTCTTTTCATTTAATCAAAAATATAGAGGGTGTCCCAAATAAAAAATCAATTTTTCTGTTGACAACTCTTAAATTATTAATTTTAAAAAAATTATACTTAAACCATTAAATTCTACGTAAAAAGGTACTTTGGAAATGTTTGTATAGAAATAAAAAATTTTCCATAGCAAAAAAGTTACAGCGATTTGTTAAAAATGCACATTTTTGAAAAACACCTCGTAACTCCGAAACGGTAACAGATATTGATGTGCGGTTTTCACCATCATGTTTTTGATGAAAATTAAGCTCCAGACACCGATATTAGTTTTCGTCTATCTTCTATAGAAAAGGGTGTTTCCATTTAAAAGCGTCGAATTTGACCCACCCTGTACAATTTGGAAAACGAGAACATTTTATTATTTTTAAACACCTTGTAAAGGAAGAATAAAAATACTATCTCACTTATTTTAATAAATTTAAATTATAATAGTGTTGCTAAGAAATAATGCTTTATACAAAAAGAAAACAAATACTTAATACTAGTGCTTATTTTAGAAATATACCTACAGGGCCAGAAATTTACAAATATTTTATCCCATTATTTTATTCAAATCTACTGGTAGATATAGAAAAATATTTATTTCTAAAAACTGATAGTACACTTACTAGGTATACTCTGTCCGTCAAACTAGAGAAGACTTTGACAGATGACATCGAAAAAAATGACAGAAAATACCTGTGAGTTTAAATAACAGACACTATATCGTTGAACAAACTATAGCTAATTTTGAACTAATTCAATAAAATGTTTCTAAACCAAACAATCAAAAATAAACTATTTTTCAAAAATAACGTTAACAAAATCTAAATCAGCACTACTTAATAGACTTATTAAATTATTAATCTAGTCTTATTTTTATTAGATGTTCTTTATCAATTTCAAAACATCAATTTATGCCAAGAATGTTTGAAACACTGTCTATTATAATCTATTATAACAAATAATATTTCGGTTTAAGAAAGAAAATTTAACTATGTTCAATTTTTATAATTTTAATACATATATAAATGAAAAATCATTATAAAAACTCAAATATATTACCTGATATCGCTGAAAAATAAGTGAAAAAACTCGGAGGAATTTTCATATCACTGCATTAAGTCTAAAACTAATCACTATGAATTAAAACAGTATAACAGATCAAATTATTTCGATAAATTTTAATAAAACCGAAACCTTGTAAGCAGTAAATTGTGTTACGGTCACATACAGAGCGTTGCATTTCACGCGGTACAAAAATGCATGCTTTTCCGCGCTTTGTCTTGCAAGACTTTCCCTTAAAACTGAAAATATCAATTTCCTTATTTACTAAAAGGAAATTATTCGATGATATATCTTTAAGAGAAGCAGCGGTTAAACAAAGAAGTAGTTTTGATTTAAGTTGCTTAATAACTGATTATTTGTTATTGATGATCATTTGCAACACGATAATTTTACTATCGTGTACCCGAAGGTTACAGTGGTTAACGATTTGTTCGTTCATAAAACGCATTTTATTCTGATCTCTTGAACGATTGAGATTTATTACTGTATTACTAAATATCAGCTAGTGGTGTCTATTCAAATAAAGTAGGTGAAGAACATTCTATACGTAGTGATGGGCGGTAGGTAAATACCCAACGCATAGTTAAAGAAAATTTGGGTATATACCTTGTATATCTACCTATTGATAGGGGTGGGCAAGAATTGGGTATATACCAAGTGTATACAGGCCCGCCAATGGATCTCTAGGCATAGGAATTACATGCATTGGAATGAAACGCCTATAAAAAGTCTATGCTTAAACAGAGATGGACAACAACTTCCCCGTTTCCACTTCCACTACGACTGTCTACTTAGACAAACTCCAATAAGATAACAAATTTTGGAAATTCCGCCACCTCCCATCCACTCATGATACCCATCTCCCTGCCCTTTATTTATCGCCATTATTTTATTTCCCTTCCCGCGCCTCCGCACCTCGCTATTCCGACTCCCGTCAGTTCATCACAGAGTTGCCAGGTCTACCGGTTTCGTCTGTAAGCTACCGATCTACCGATTTAAAGAAAAATCCAACGATATATTCAACTGCGTCTTTAGTTTTTACAATAGAAGCACTTTTAAAAAGCTGACTTATTTGACTAAAAATTAAGCGACTGCCGCGTTGGAATCTGTATAATCTGACTTTATTATTGTTTCATTAAATTTTATTTAGTAATAACACACATACAGGTCTGTCTAGTTGCAGAGTTACAGAGATATTCCTAAAAATCCTTATTACTCCTTATTAGGCGCGGTATTGGCGACATGCCCGAAGAAGTTGATATCTTTTGAAAAGATTTTATTTCATTCATCTACTAAAGTTAAACCCATATTTTCCCCCAAAAAATGTAAACAAAAAACAAAATTTAAGTTAAGAAACAACCTAAATTCGGACAAATATTTTAGTGATTTTCCCGTCAAAAAATATATAATATGAAAAAAGAGTTGAGAGTTGCTACAGCTTTCCCATTGAAATGAAATTAATTTTAGATATCACTGATCAAAATTTGTACAAAGGTAAAAAGTGACTGCTACACTAATTTGTGACTGCTATCCCTACTTGTTATAGTTTTATATGTTTTTATTAATATATTAATATTATTTAATTCAATATTTTTTTTAATATCAAATAATATACCTAGCTATTTCTAATTCTTGTTATATTTATTATATTTGTATTTTATTTGAGTGATCTATTATTACGACACATAGGAATGCTAATTTTGGACTTAAATATTATATTTTATTTCGTTTCTGTACTTTTAATTTTTGTTGAAGATCTACCGAGAATTTTGTTCTCGTATGGAATTATAATCTAACCAACCCGGCAACCCTGTTCGGCTACTCCTTATAAAGTTTTTTTCGGCCTAATTCCTTTGTCACAGCCGCGGCTTTGTCAAGCGCCGCCGCCGACCGACTGTGTCGGGGCGACTGCTAGGAAGATCGTACAGTATTGCCATTTCATAGAATTGCACTTGCTATTTTAGAAATGATTTCAAAGTTTTGCATGTTACTTTTCGTTTTAGAAAGAAGTTATGTGCCTAGAGAAAACATTCTTAAAATTGTTTCGTACTTTATTTAATATTTCATTAAGTAGGCAAGATAATGGGATTAGAAGATTTAGGATTTTGACAAGCCAACATAATTTCGATTTAATTGGATGGCAACACTGTCCGTCCTGTTTCTATTTTTTCGATTCTGTTCTATTAGTAGGCGGTAGCCCCCACACAAGCGTGTTAAAGACCCGACCGGCGCCCCCTCTCGCAGGGGCTCTATCGTCGTATCACTTCTATGATCACTTCCCCTATACAATGGTAGGGAAAAGACACTTTATCCGTCTCTGTTGCACTGCAGTGTATTTTGCAGCCTTACCATCTTTTTTTATCGCATTGAAAACCTCCTATTGCTAATATTCCTTTGCCATCAGTGTATACACAAGGTTTATACACAGATTTTACTCAACTGCGTAGAAGTATCTTTACCTACTTTATTTGGATAAATACCACTAGCTGACATTAGAAGCTGTAGGATATATACTTAGTGAAGGATATTGTAGATATATACCAGGTATATTCGTGGTATTATACCGGGTATTTACTATGCGGTCGTCGAGGAATCCCCTTTTAAAATTAGGGTATTCACCTAAATCGCACCGTGCTCCCGTACATTTGATAGAAATATTGGCTATTGTCAGTGATGGGCAAACACTCGGTATATTGAAATTTGGGTAAATACCCAACTTCTTACACCATATGTATACCCAAAGGGTAAATACAACGTATATTGAATTTGTTGTTGAATATTGAATATTGAAATTTGTATACTGAATATTGTTGACTTTGCTAATATTAGGTACTCTAATAAATTTTAACAATTTATTATTAAATTCGACATTAAAGAAAGATCAGAAAATCACCAGTCAAAGAATCCACAGAAGCCAACAAATGTTATCAAAAACACGACAGTATACAACGCCGAGACGGTATACTCACCAACCAACCCTGACGACCGCATAGTAAATACCCTGTATAATATCACAAATATACCAGTATACACCAAGTAAATAACTACAATATTCATCAGTGAGTATATACCCTACACCTTTGGAGTATATACCAGGTACACCAGAAGCCCTGTAGCTGCATTTATTCCAGACCTTGCCGGATAATCATTAAGCCAGCTGCTTTCATGACAGCATTTCTTGATGGTCTAATTCGGAGTAAGAAAACTATTCATCTTTTTTGTTTTTATGGCTTGCCATTACCTATTCAGTTTCTTTTAGAAGGGATTATTAAATTAATATAGTCTTGGAGAGTTACCCTACGTAAACTTATCTAAGAAACATACGGTTGGCAAACTATAAAAAAATAAAACTAGATTTTTTTCTATGTACATTATATTTAAAAATAAATACATATTATATATAAATCCTAGTCTGTTGTATAAAATTCCCATTTGATCTGGTTATATTATAAAACTCCAGTATACTTATTTGTTTAACATTTGTTGGATCTCTGCAGCAGTTTTTCCTTTTGTTTCTGGGACAATCAATAGGATAAACACAGCACCGAGTATACAACAGACCCCAAACAACCAGAATGACTGTGCCATACCCAACATCTCACTAATAAGAGGAAAAGCTATGGTAATTTGAAACGAAACCCCAAAATTCGTTGCAGAGACCATAGCTGTCGCACTAGATTTGACGTTGGAAGGAAATAGCTCGCTGACCATTGTCCAAGACACTGGGCCCACTCCATAGTTGAAACAGATAATGTAGAAAATTAGACTGACAATGGGTAACCACCAAATGTAAGTGACGAAAGCAAATTGATGTTTAGAGAGAAAGAAATAGAGTCCAAGAAGTGTGAGGGAGACTGCTAAACCTAAAGCGGAGGATAAAAGAAGCATTTTTCTGCCTAATTTATCGATTAAAGACGAAGTGATAAAAACGGTGAACACTTGAATGACCCCGATCAAAGTGGTAGCTATTTGAGGTGGAATAGAACTCCCAGTAGCCAAGAAGATGTTCTCCAAGAACCCCGTAACTGCGTTTATTCCAGATACTGGCTGGATAATCAATAAGCTAGCTGCTTTCATGACAGCATTTCTTGATGCCCTAAATCGGAGTAAGAAAACTATTCACCTTTTTTTGTTCTTATGGCTTGCCATTACCTATTCAGTTTCTTTTAGAAGGGATTATTAAATTAATATAGTCTTGGAGAGTTACCCTACGTAAATTCATCTAAGAAACATACGGTTGGCAAACTATAAAAAAATAAAACTAGATTTTTTTCTATGTACATTATATTTAAAAATAAATACATATAATATATAAATAAGTCCTAATTTGTTGTATAAAATTCCCATTTGATCTGCACTGGTTATATTATAAAACTCCAGTATACTTATTTGTTTAACATTTGTTGGATCTCTGCAGCAGTTTTTCCTTTTGTTTCTGGGACAATCAATAGGATAAACACAGCACCGAGTATACAACAGACCCCAAACAACCAGAATGACTGTGCCATACCCAACATCTCACTAATAAGAGGAAAAGCCATGGTAATCAGGAACGAAACGCCAAAATTTGTTGCAGAGACCATAGCTGTCGCACTAGATTTGACATTAGAAGGAAATAGCTCGCTGACCATTGCCCAGGACACTGGGCCCACTCCAAAGTTGAAACAGATAATATAGAAAATTAGACTGACAATGGGTAACCACCAAATGTAAGTGACGAAAGCAAATTGATGTTTAGAGAGAAAGAAATAGAGTCCAAGAAGTGTGAGGGAGACTGCTAAACCTAAAGCGGATGATAGAAGAAGCATTTTTCTGCCTAACTTATCGATTAAAGACGAAGTGATAAAAACAGTGAACACTTGAATGACCCCGATCAAAGTGGTAGCTATTTGAGGTGGAATAGAACTCCCAGTAGCTAAGAAGATGTTCTCCAAGAACCCCGTAACTGCGTTTATTCCAGACACTTGCTGGATAATCATCAATCCACCTGCTATCATGAAAGCCTTTCGTGGGGCCCTGGATCGGAACAAGAAAACAATTCCTCCCTTCTCATTTTTCTCACTTTCGATCAACTCTATAATTTCGTTCAGTTCTGGTTTAACTTCATTCTTTGATTTACTTCTCAGTTTTACCAATGCAGCCTCAGCTTGATCGATGTTACCGCGTGTGACTAAATATCCTGGAGTTTCGGGGGCCAATATTGGAAAGATTGCTAAGAAAATTAATAAAGGAACTATGGAAGAGAGACAGAATAGTTTAACTGATAATAAGGGTCCTATGGAGAAAGGAAATAGGAGCCCTAGAGCGATAAAAATACCCATGATGCAACAGAATTTTCCTCGGTTGTGGTCTTGGGTGATTTCGCCCGTGTACATGGTTAAGACTGTAAAAACTCCACCATCGCCCATACCGTAAAGTATCCTAAAAAAAACAAAGTTTTCTCAGTTTTCTATAATGTATAGCACAGTATGATTAAAAAAAAAACAGCGTCAAAGAGGACTGTGATATGACAATCGATGATAATTTCAGGGAGGTGAATTACTAAAAATTGACATAAAATTTTGTCAAAAGTTAACACTAGTTATAGAAAGTTTAAAAAGGAAAGAACGTTTCCAGGCACACAAATCTATTTCCAAAAAAAGTTTTTCTCGAATTTCAGATTACACGATTTAAGGTTGATTAAGGTTTCCATTCCATATCCGTTCCGTATTTTTTATTGTATTGACGCTATACGTCAGCTTCCGTTCCATATCAGTTCCATACTTTTTATTGTACAATTTATGTTATTACGAAAGTTTTATTTTAAAAATTTGTATCTTTTGAAAAAGGTAATAGATTTAATTAAGAGGTGAAAGAATAAATAAATATCAGCTAAATTTTAACAGAGCTGGTACAAATGTAATAACATGACAACGCTGTTTCCAATACGTTTCAGTCCGTCCGCCAAAAAAATGTATGGAAGGAAAGGATATGGAACGGAAGGAAAACGGAACGGATAGTGTGCATTGTCCTATTCCTTTACATGATATAATATTTTATGTAAACGGAAGGGAGCTGATATGGAAGGTATAGTGAGAATAAACCTTTAAAAATCATTTTTACTCGATATTAATAGTATATTATTCAACGAGCGTATAATGTTATTCACGCGGATGAAGTTTATGACACGAGCCGCAGGCTTTATCCAGGACTAGCAAAAAAATTTAGATAATATTAATATAAGTTTTTATTTTTAATGTCAAAAAATATTGAATGAGTATAACGAGTAAGTAATATGGCAACAAAACATTGAAATTTTTCTTTAACTAGGTAGCTAACTAATTTAGCTTTAACTAATTAAAACAAAAAATTATTTATTTACATTAATAGTAATGTTTGACAGCTCTTGTTTGGAGTTTGGATCGAGATATCCGTGGAAGCGGTCAATAATGAAACCATTATCACAGATTATACAGATTATAATCTTTGTTTTTTCTTTATTGATTTTCGTGGTTCCAATTTTCGGAATCGGGCACTAGTTCGGTGACTAGTTTGCGCACATAGCACGCCCACTTATGGCCTCTAAAATTGTGCACAGCGCCTGACAGGCACAGTTAGAGAGATATCGGAAAACCGAATAGCGTCATCCAGTATTTACGCGTACCTTATCATGGTTACGATATGCGCGAGTCAATTTTTAACGCAACACCAGCTAATAACGTTACCGCCTGACGTAATTTGCGGATCAATTACACCAAGCGCTCTTTCTAAATAACCTCTGATAACGTTTAAAAATTGCTTAAATGGGCATAGGCGGGTATTTGACAACCGGAGCTGGCCGGCGAGATCTTTTATTTTAGGTTATGTTTGAATTGTTTTGAATTATTGCTTTAGTTTTATTAGGTAATATGATATTTAAGTAGCTGGGATTAGTTTTAATTAAATAAATATGGCCCAAAATATGGATTCCACCTCTTCCAATACTAAAGAACCTATAAAGAGTCTTAGGTTTACAGCAGATGACGACTTAGCCCTTCTAAGAGAATTTGTTGCTTGTTGCCCTAAACCCCCTGGCAGACGTTAAACAATAAAGCACTGGAAATAAGCACTTTAGCCCTTTAGTTTTAAAATATCTAGTAAACAAAACAATTTCAAAGTTTTAAATTCAAAGTTAGGTTAAGTTTAAAAAGCGGACGCGACGCGATCAGAATTCTTTCCGATCCGATAACTATATATGAAGAGAGTTAATACCACCTCACGTAAAGGAAATAACACCTGGCCTTATTAACGTCCATGCACGCTATTCGGTTTAGCGATATCTCTCTATTACGCTGTTTATTGTTATTTTACGCGAGTTTATTTTTGCGCACAGGAAATTTGACTCATTTGCACATCGTCATAAAAAACAACTTTCGTACCACGAATTAGGGACAGGATTTTTATCTGTATACTTATAGGATACCTAATCTGTGCCATTATTCACTAGTGAATAATGAATATTATTATTATTTCATAAACTCATGTATAATAATCAAATTATAGACGAGTCTTGGATAAAATAAATTACAACCTTCTTAAAGCCAACTGGCGGTAAGCGCCATTATAAAATAAAGAAAAATACGGGCCATGTACATGAAGGCTAGGGCTTGACATCGCCAAAATTATCATCGATTGTCATTTCTCAGCCGTCCTTGACGCTGTTTTTTCTTACGATCGTATGGCAGCATGAAAATAATTTCGATGACTTTAAAATAACTTCTTCCTCATTCCTCACGATGTGAGTAATAGGTGTTCTGGTTGAATGGTAAAAAGTAACTACGACTATAAAAATTATATAGTTAAAAAATCAATTTACTTTTAATTTAAAACAGCAGATAACTGTCATTGTAAATATTCATTAGACGGACAGACTATATTATTATATCTTAAATCTATTTAGTAAAAATAAAATATTTTTTATCAACTAATTCACAAACATACCGGGTGTTGCATCTTCGAGCGGGACATAGGAAATCCCATGTAAATTTTAATGTCAATTATTGGCTTCCCTAATTATTTTAGAGAATAATTCTATATAGGTTTATTGAAGAGCACTAAAACCCACATTCAAAAGAATAACTTTAGATATTTTTGATTAGCCCGTTTACGAGTTATCGGCGAATTCTTTTTAAATATTTCTCCTATCTTATGGCCCTGTATTTACTTATGAGCACCAGTCAAGGTAAAAGATAACTGTCAAATGAAGTTGTCATTTCAGAAATTTATCTATTTAGTGCTTTATTATTATTGAAAACTCATTCCTACATCGAAAATCTTAAAGATGTATTTATAAATACAAATTAATATGAATTAAAGTAAAATAAAGTAATCAATTACAATTAATTATAGTATTATTACAATATTCAATAACTTATTAATTTAGGTACTATTAAATTGTTAGAACTTTAGGATTTAAGAAGATGTTCAAATATTCCTCCATCGACTGCTAGACAATAACCAAGGTAATCATAAAATTCTCTTCGTATATTCGCTAGTTGGTAAACTGAAATTCTATTGCATTCGGCAGAAATAGCATTTTTTAACTCGTCTAGAATTGGGTATTTTTTATCCTTGTATATCCTGTTTTTTAAATGGCCCCAGAGAAAGAAATCATTTGGCGAAATATCAGGAGACCTTGCTGGCCAATTTACTGTATAATTTAGGCCAATAACGTTTCCGTTAAAACTATTGTCTAAATATTCCCGAACAGCCAGGGTACTATGTGCCGGGCAGCCATCCATTTGGTATCAAACTTCCCGATTTTCCCTAGCGGCATCATGTAAAGCCGGTAAAATATGATTTTCGAGTAGTTCCAAATAATATTCTGCATTTAAATTTCGCGTAAGAAATAATGGCCCGATAATATTGTGTCCGAATATCCCTGCCCAAATATTTACTTTCTGTGGATATTCCGTCCTTGTTTCGACAAACCTGTGTTGGTTTTCTTTGTTCCAATATCGATAATTTTGAACATTGGGTTCATTATTTAAGGTAAACGTGCATTCGTCAGTGAAACATTTTTTTTTATATCCCTATCCGGGTTTGCTCTTTCCATCATATCAAAACAAAACGCCTGCCGCCATATTTCGTCCCCATCTCGTAGCTCTTGGTGCTTTTCATATTTGAAGGAATAGTATTTATGTCGTTTCAAAGTTCGAAACGCGATTCCTATTTCATCCTCAAGTTTCCTTGTGCTGATCTTTCCATCGTTCTCCTCCACGCACAATAAAACTTCCAAGTCGGTTTCATTTCTTGCATCTTCTCTTTGTTCCTGCCTTGCTTCACATCTACAGTTATTTATTAGGGTACCTTTGGTCTCTGGATATTCCTTGCGATTGTAGATTTTCCAGGTATCGGTCTATTCGGATACAGAGCAGCAAACATGTCCAATACCTTTTAATAACTATTTCCTTGATAATACCATTTAATCATCAATACTTTTTCTTCGGTAGTGTAATTCATGGCTAATATTTTCGATGTAGGTATGAGTTTTTAATAATAATAATAATAAAGCACTAAATAGATAAATTTCTGAAATGACAACTTCATTTGACAGTTATCTTTTGCCTTGACGGGTGCGACTGGTGCTCATAAGTAAATACAGGGCCATAAGAAAGGAGAAATATTTAAAAAGAAATCGGCGATAACTCGTAAACGGGCTAATCAAAAATATCTAAAGTTATTCTTTTGAATGTGGGTTTTAGTGCTCTTCAATAAACCTAAATAGAATTATTCTCTAAAATAATTAGGGAAGTCAATAATTGACCCCATTAAAATTTACATGGAATTTCCTATGTCCCGCTTGACGATGCAACACCCGGTATATGGTATACTTAAACGGTTGACTTTTTACTATTTTAGATATACAGAATGTCCCAATATTCCGTGAACATAGAACTTATGGAAACAATTTTGGAACGAATTTTTCGAACCAAAATAAGTTAATTGGACACAATTTACCTCTATGTCCGCTAGAGGGCATCAAACTTTAAAAACATAAAAACATTTTTTCAGATATTTTAAGAACTGTTAGTCCAATTTAAATGGAATTTTGAATGTCTATGTTTTGCTAAGTGCTTTAACATTTGGCTTTCACAAAAGTCAAGAAAATGTACGGGATGGGTAAAAACTACCCCCACCCCTACATAAATTTTAGTATAAATATTTTCCAGCTCCACCGACGACATATTTTCTTTTTGTAAAATTGCCCGTCTAGTATTTACTACATTTTTTGTCTCTTGTAAAAAAAGCTACATCTCATAGTTTTTGTAGAAAAAAAAATTGGGAGAATATGTTTTTCCACAGTAGGACCTACAAAATATACAGAGAGTTTAATATTCCGTAGACATAAAACAACTATACGTATTTTTTAGATCAAAATAAATTCATTGCACATGATTTAC